GGGAGAATGACTACCCTCCAGAATGAGGGGTGGATCTAACAGAGGCACACCTCGTACCTCTTGCAAAACTGGTTGATCACCGGGTCCAACGGGCCCAACGTAAAGGGATAAGTGTAAACACTTAAATATCCCTTTACGTGGATAGTGATGTCTTTTTCGGGTCGGGGAATCACCACGTCTTTTTCGGCCCAATTGCAATCCTATATGACCTTAGGAAGTATATCCTTGGTGATCGAGCAAATATACCTAGGCACCTTCTCACCCCAGCCCAGAACGGGTGAAGGTTTCTAAACCTTGAAGTCGGCGGACACTGAGCACCCGCCAGGAATAAACGCGTCGATCGGCCGGGAAGCAAAAACGCTTTCTTTTTGAGAAACTGTTTTACAAGTATTCACCATTTTGTGGATAAAGATAGAAGAATGAGTTAAAAGAGTATGCTTACAAAGGGGTAATCCTTGCAAAGCTCTCAAGAAATTTGGGTATGAGTACTAGAAAATGCAAAGATTCTTTAAGAACAAGAGTAGGAAAAGATTGGATGTATAGTTTGAATGAATGAATGAGGAGGTATTTATAGTTTTCAAATGATGGTTCAAAATTTGAAGCAGTCGACCAGTAACTGACGAACATTAATGCCATTAAGACGTGACTAACGGAAGATTTTGTTCGTTTTGTCATTTCTGGCACGAAGTATCGAGATGAGGATCGAGGGCTCATATCGTTTCTCGTCGTTTACTCTCCGAAAAATGAAGGGACTATCTGTATACGGTCGAAATCGGGCTCATCTATTGTATGACAGAGCGAGGCTGAAACGTGATGGATTGAAGATCGACCCCCGATTTCATCGAACCAAGGTACGAGGTAAGAACATACATATTCAAGATCGTCGGGTCCATGACTCCGGAACCAACCCCTACTACGAATGAGCCCAAGCAAACATTATCGGATCGAATAACGGAAAGGCAAAATATCTGTAACCGGGCGAATATCACGGCAGAAAACTCGACACGTATTAATGAGAAACGGATTAATTAGCAAATCATGAGATTTTTTACCTTAAATAAAGTTGTACTTAATATAGGACTCCCCTACTATATAAAGGACTCTTATTATTTGTAAAAGGGATTGTAACATTCAGTCAGAAGCAATATACTGTTATTTTCTCTTTAAAGCTCTATTTCAACGGTGTCTTGATACTGTGATCGAAGTACACACTGTTCAAGGGAAACTTTTCTCCTAAGGTTGTTACTGTCTAACTCATATGGTTTGAACTTATTTTATCATACCTTATTTGCAATTTCAATTTAACTTATTACTTTGTGTCAATTTAATCCACGTATCCTTAAAACCACTTATAAATTTATTTGTTATTTGATTTTGAGGATAAACATGCATACAAGTTAAATACAAAAAAAGAATAGCCTTGATGTTTCTTGGAAAGTAACTTCATGTACCAAGTGAATCCTAAAATATCCATCACAGGGGCGGCTCAAAGAATTGTGTGGCCTAAAGCCAAAATATATTAAAAGGACCTTAAATTTTCATAAAATACATATCATAATGAGACATAAAAAAATTCATGTGACTTTGGTTTAGTGGTAAGAGTATAACGCATGATGAAGCTAGGCTCATTTTATGATTTCGAACTCTCACGTAGACAAAAGCATGATATTTGAGTGAAAAAGAGTAGAAGAACGAGCTCATTATCCATCGAGTTCAAATCTTCGCCGCTGTCCTCGAGAATTTCTTAGTTAAAAAAGATGAGACACAAAAAATAGCTAATCCAGAGAATCTGAGTTGAAATGAGTGTGAAATGTCAAAACATGAAGAAAAGAAAGAGTATACATAGAAAAATTAGAATTAATGAGAAGGCAAATATACAATTTAATTTAATAAGAGTGAAAAATTGTGTTATTTACTCACTCAATCATACAACGTCAATCAAATTTAAAAATTTAAATTTTTTATTAATAATAATTGTATAAATTATATGGTATATATAATACTAATAGTATGTTGTAATTATGAGCCCTTAATATTTGGGGCCCAAGGCAAGAGATTCGTTTGCCTTACCTTAGAGTCTTGTATTAAAAAAAGAACTTTTACATTCCTATACACTATTTGAAATCTTATTACTCTCCGTGCTTAAGTTTCAATTTAATTACATGGTCATATACAATTTACCAATTATATACAAATAAGTTTTAAATGAGTATCCCTTTATATTAGGAATTGAATAAAGAATATTAGTTATTTCCTTATTCCTTTATACTTGTCCACTCTCTCTCTTTGTGTCTCTCTCTGCTTTTTCCAGTGTACATATAGTCTAGCTTTCTTTCCAGTAGTGTGATCTTAATAAAAGAATATAATTTCTGGCAGTGGAACTTTCACACTTAATTGGTTATTATAAAACTTAGAGTTCACAGAACAAAGATTGCAACTCAAAAGTGTGGATTACAAATATTGAAAAGAATTACTAAATTCAAGACGAAGATATTGTAGTAATTCATCAGTGGATTTCTTGTTGTATAAAGTTTTACTGGAATTCATCAATGGATTGCAATCGTTTTAACTTAGCAATTTCCTTTCGTGTTGCACAATTGGTGTTCAAATTGAAATTGTCAATCAATAAATTTTGAAGGTGTTTGACTCTCCACCATTGAAAGCCACTAAAAAGCTTTGAAATTGAATTTGGGTTTTCAAAAATCATTATTTGTTTGGATTGGGTGTTATTGCAAACAATTGAAAATATTATTTGGAGTTTAGATCTCAAATTTGAGAGTGTTTTGGTGAAGATTAGACTTGATTTTGGCTGAATTTCAGATTGAAACTCGAAGAAGAAGAAGAAGAAGAAGAAGAAGAAGAAGAAGAAGAAGAAGAAGAAGAAGAAGAAGAAGAAATGACATACAATACACCTACAAAATTGTAGTAAAGTTGTAGGTAAATTGTATTCTGTTATAGTTATATATTTTTTTATTTGAAAGTTGTATGAAAGTTGAAAAATAGTTGTATTATGTATGAATTGTTGTATAAAATTTGTATTTAAGTTATCAATACTATCTTTTTACATAAAGTTGTTGATATGTATCAAAATAAGAGAGTAAGTTTTGATTGGAATTTCAGAGAGGAAGAAGCACACACTACACACAAAATATATACAAATCAGATACAAAATATACAAAAGACATATTGTATAAAATTTATATAACAATTGTATTTAAGTTGTATGATATTGTAATTGTATTTAATTGGGTATAAATAATGTATGAATGTTGTAGATAAATTGCAGATTAGTTACAAATAAGTGTATATTGTATATTTAGTTGTAATTCACTATAACAAAATCAAATGCAATGTGCGTAATTCAATATTACATTCAAGTCGCAATTGACTATAATTTCTTTGAGGGTAAAATTTGATTACGTAATTTGACCAAAATAACTTGTGACTATAATTGTCAAAAATGTCGATAAGTTCAAAATGTCTTTGTGCCAATTCTCAGTACTTGTACTGAGTATTGCCATTTGTCTAAGTAATAAGGAGCCCTATTTTCAAGTTGGTTACGTGATAGACCTGTAGGCTTTCGGTGCTTGTGATGTAATTTTGATTTCCTTTGCGTTATGAAAAGTAATGCATGTTTAAGGAAATCAATTGTGCTAAGCTGATAGCATAATGAGATAAATATTATCGTTGAAAGGCATTTGCTAAAAAAGAATTTCGTGATGCTTAATTGTGTGAATGTTAGAGTTAAATGCCAAGAGGTATTGTTATATCAAATATCACCAGTTTCTCAAATTATACATGGGGAACAACTAGATTTTATCATCGTACAACTATTTTTAACTTTCAAATTAAAAAAAATATATAACTACAACAGAATATAATTTACCTACAATTTTCTACAACTTTACTGCAATTTCGTAAGTATATTGTATGTCATGTCTTCTTCTTCTTCTTCTTCTTCTTCTTCTTCTTCTTCTTCTTCTTCTTCTTCTTCTTCTTCTTCTTCTTCTTCTTCTTCTTCTTCTTCTTCTTCTTCTAGTTTCAATCTAAAATTCAATCAGAACCAAGTCTAATCTTCACCAAGCACCCTCAAAATTGAGATATAAACTCTAAACAATATATCCAATTGTTTGCAACAACATCTAATCCAAACAAATAATGATTTTTGAAAACCCAAATTCGAATTCAGAGCTTTATGATAGATCAGTGTTTGAAACTTCAATTCCTACGACCTGGAGGTTACTTCAATAGGTTGATTGGCAGAAGACAATTTTAGGCTTACCTTATTGAGAGAGAAAACCAGTGAGAAAAAAAAGAAAGAAAAATTGATGAGAGATGCGGCAGTGAGGAACGATGAAAGGAGAGAAAAAAGAAAAAGGATGTAACTAAATCCCCTAATTCAAGGCACTAATAATGGATTGTATATAATTTGTAAGTAATCCTTGTTTAGGATGAGTAATATACAAAACTAAGACAATTTTGATAAATAAGTTTCAAATATTGCATAGGAAGGAAAAAAATCCCATTAAAAAACCTCTTACTACAAAGATAACCTTAATTTAAAGATTAGTAGCCTAATGAAAAAAGGTATTTGGAACTTTTCCTCTATTTCTTTTGACCTTCCTCCAAACCTAATTCATACCATCAAAAGTGTTCATCTTCCACTATATTTTGTTACTGAATTGTAATGACCTCTTCACTACTGAATCTGCTTCCCAACTCGTTCACTTTGGATATGAAAACTTAATTAGGACTCTAAATAAAAATAAGTTTTTTCTTTTGTTGTGCTACCATAACAGATTACCAACTAGATCATATTTAAAACTCTATTGGGATCATATTAACAAACAATGCTCTATTCAAAGTGAAACCACTAATTTTAGGGCTTAGGACCAAATTTGTCAACTTTTTTTTTTTTTTTTTTTTTAGGGACTATATTTGTTGAGGGGTATATATTAATATTAATTAAGAACCAAAATAGTCCAACTTGTAAACATTAAGTACCATTTTGATCATTCTCCCACTAAACCCTTGGCATTCCTTTTCTTCACTCTCTTCTCTCTTCAGTACTGAAAAATGATAGGTATGAGAACGGTAAGAAGAATGATTTCATTATTATCAAGAACGTCTCAGATTCGAAATGGTTCCAGAATTCCTAAGTCGTCTCCACCTCTTGTTTCACTTGACCTCCCCGATGAATGGTCCTCCAATTTTATCCATTCTGATTCTCCTCCTCCAAAATGCTGTAAGCACCTCGATTTTTGAGTTTTCCCCCTATTTCGTTATTCCTAGATTCTTTTTCCTCTCATTTTTTCCTTTTTTTGGGCTCTAAATGTCATGTAGAGAATTAAGCTTTGCAAATTAATTTTTTCGGAGGTTAAATGAAATTCATTTAACTTTTTTTCTCCTTCATTTTTTGCCGTAAAAGTATTCCCTTTGTGAGCCCCAACAGGCTGATTGGATGGTTGTATCTGTGGTTTCATAACGTACTGTTTTGTGTTGTATCGTGTTTTAATATATTGGTTTGATAGATTATAATGTTTGCTCTGGTTTAATAACATGTTTATTGTCTGGTTTGACTGTATCATATTGTATTAGAATAACTGATAAGTTTACCAAGACATCTATGAAAGGAATAATGCACGTGCAAAAGAAGGGGAAAAAATGTAAGATGAAGAAGATTACTCCGTCTCCAACCTAACATTTGCAAATGAAACATAATGAAAGAAAAGAAAATATTGAGGGAAACGAGAATGAATGGTGTATAGTTTTTTTGATAATCGTGGTGCTAGCTTGCCCACACCTCTGACTAATTCCTGGAATACCTGCTATTCCACCAGCAATAGGTACCAGGTAACTCTGTCCACCAAAGCTTGAACAAATGTGAAGCAATTATAGAGAAACCAAATTTTAAAGGAGCATTGGGGTACAAGAACTCTACTATATTCTTAGGAGCAGTCCTTAGGACTCTTCATATCATAATGTCAAACTTAATGTTTCAGATGTGATACTCCCAATCTCATCTTTAGCAGCCTCACAAAGTAAATACTTGTCATATTTTGGGGAATGAAAATTGTTCATGCTACACAACAATGGCTGTTCCGATAACTTTAATACTATAGAATCTTGCTTTCAAATGATCCTTACACTGCCCTTGTCTATGTTTTGCATTTACGTTTTTTCAAGTTTCCTATAATGGAACGAAAAAAGAAACAAAGAAATGTTCTGCTTCTAGTTTAATTTACTTTGAACAGCCGACAATGCAACTGCTAGAATAATTGATGGGATCTCTGAGGCCGAGCAAATTAGATCAAGCATAGCCGTTGAAGTTAGCAGAATGAAGGAGTCAACTGGAAAGGTTCCTGGTTTGGCTGTAGTATTGGTTGGGCAAAGGCAAGACTCTCTTGCCTATGTCCGTAAAAAAATAATGGCCTGCCATGAGGTTGGGTTCAGATTTTCACTTTCTGAACTCCCTGAGAGCTGTACAGAAGAGGAGGTCTGTGATGCATTATCAAATTATAACAAGGATGCATCAATTCACGGTATTCTTGTGCAGCTTCCTTTGCCACAGGTAAATCTTCAACTAAGTAGTAGTATACACTTATCCATGTTATGTGAAAGGCACTGCATAGAAAGCATGGAACTATCAGTTTCCATAAATATTGTTGATTCTTAAACTTGAGCATCTGTTCAGTTATCCTCATTTTCTCCCCAAAGATGTTTACACAGTTGAATAAATGGTTGAAATTCACAATGTTGAATATGAAATCTAGGGGAGATACTAATTTCATCCCTCTAATTACTGTCTGTATATGGTTTTGTCATTATGTTGTCCCTCCAAACAAAAAAAGGTATGTGATATATTTTCTGGCGCTAACAAAAGTTATTGGAACAGCATTTTGACGAGGGAAAGATTCTGAATGTACTAAGCTTAGAAAAAGACGTGGATGGATTTCATCCACTAAACATTGGGAACTTAGCCATTCAGGGTAGAGAGCCATTGTTCATCCCGTGCACTCCGAAAGGCTGCATCCAGTTACTGCTCAGGTCTGATGTCGAAATAGTTGGCAAGAGAGCTGTGGTGATTGGGAGGAGCAACATCGTTGGACTACCTACATTTCTGTTGTTGCAGGTGATACATCTGTCGCACATAGCCGTCAATTTGTTGCACTCGTATAAATCCAACTCTTTACAAATATCTATCCCACACTAAGGTAGTGATTTATGTGTCAATAGCACAACGTATTAGGCATGATGAATAGTTGGGCATTCATTCTGGCATTGTTAGGTTGGAGCATTATTAATACGGTGTATGTGGCCTTGCAATAACTAGAATATATTTTCTTGTTTAAGGCTAATTTAAGTTTATTTCGACTTTCGACTAAAATTAAATGTAGAAGATTGAGAGTTATCCCTCTGTCCTATTTTACGCGACGGTGTTTGATTTGGCACGGAATTTAAGAGAGAAAGACTCTTGAAACTTGTGGTCTAAAACAAGTCATAGATGTTTTATTTCCCTTATCATATCTGCTTTTCCTTTTGGGTTAACTATAATTTCATTATTTTACATTTTTACATTTTTAATTTAATCAGTTTCTATAAGAAGCACTATATTGCCTGTGACAAAATATTGTTAAAGGACAATGAAGAAACAAGTTACTCTACTTGTATAGCAAACATGGGTATTGATTTATTTACGGCATATCTGGTCTTTGGTAACAAGACATTATACTGCATGTCCGGTCTTTGATTAAAAATGAGCCAAATGTTTGATTGTACTGATAATTCTAAGATTATATTTACCCATATCAGTAATCTCTCTGTATTACAGTCTATGCATTTTCTTCTCACCATGTCAAACGATGTGAACATTGTTTGCAGAGGCACCATGCAACAGTAAGTATTGTGCATGCATATTCGGAGAACCCAGAAATGATTACCCGTGAAGCTGATATACTTGTTGCAGCAGCTGGAGTGCCTAATTTAGTCCGCGGTAGCTGGTTAAAGCCTGGAGCAATTGTTCTTGACGTTGGAATAAACCCAATTGAGGTAATTTCTAAAGACCCTTCTTAGTATTGCATGGCAGTTAAAGTAAGATTGGTCGGATTAGGCATAACTCTTCTATCGAAAAAAGAAAATTGATTTAAATAATTGATGTACATGTGAAACAATAAGGTCATTTGTATGTTTAACTGGTGTAGGACCCTGAGAGTGAAAATGGTTACCGTTTGATTGGAGATGTTTGCTTCGAAGAAGCAGTCAAGATAGCTTCTGCAATAACCCCTGTTCCCGGAGGTGTAGGTCCTATGACAGTTGCAATGCTTCTTCAGAATACCCTTGAAGCTGCCAAGCGTGCTCTTCATTTTACTTGATTTAAGGTGGACGAATTCCTAAAAATGTTCTCGCTTATTCCTCTCCATTAGAAATGTGGAGAAGAAATGAATGATAACTAGCCTGAGTTTTACACAACCTCTCCATTGTTGGAGCTATGTCTGGTGGACGAGTCGCTGCCATTAATCAATCCTGACATATTAGGAAGTTCCCAGTTCCCACATCAAGGAAGCAGCAGTACCGAATGAATGTAGCAGCTTCAGTATTCGGGATGACGCGCTGAGATAATGACATTGAAGGCCCAGCGAATAGCGCTAACAAATTGACGTTTGGTTTCCATAATGCAGAAAGTTCTCGTGTATACTGATTTGCTTCTTCAAGGTTCCTTCCCCCCCCCCCCCCCCTCTCCTTATGGTTGACCTTTTAAAAGGTACACAAGCATATGTTTTGTCGGACAGAACTTTTGCAAATGTAAAAGGAAATTTAGAAATGATGCAACATGCATACTGTGAGGTGGATTTGATGGTAAACTTCAAAGGCTTTCTGCAATGTTCTTCCCCTTATTTTCTAGAATTTGATACTTTTTCCTTCAAATTTTTCTAATGTTGCACTATTATTACTTAGTTGTTGTAGTACCTTTTATCATTCGTTATTACCTAGGTAACTATATTTTGGGCGAGATCGACAGTAAGAGTCAAAAATATACTTCTGCTATCAAAAATTGTTTAAAGTTATCCTACGTTTTTTTTCCCCCATCAAAAATACCCCTACCGTCTTACTATTAGATAAATATACCCCCAAGTTAATGGAGAGGCCACATGGTAGTCACTTAAGCTATTTGATCCATCCGGATTAATTTTTACACTGATCTGACCCAATATTTGATACCCACCCTAAAATTAAACCCTTATTCAATCACTTTGAATTCAGAACCTAACTTTTTGGACCTTTCTTCATCTGCTTCGTTTGAGCCTTTTATCTGCAAATGCACTTTGAAGAACTCAAGAAATGAAGGTCAATCTCTATCTACATCATCCATATTGATAAACCCAAGAAAAGAAAGGTTAAATCTCCGTAAGAATAAAAGATACAACCTGTTTATATTTCTTATCACTTAGATCTAGTTATTGTTGACAACTTTTTAGGGTGGTAATGGATGAAGAAGGTGGGTTTCTTTCTCACTATCTATCCAAAAATTCGAAAACAAACCATATAACAATAAGAAGAAGAAATCAACAGATATTCAGTACGATAATTTAATTGCTGATTTTTTTTGAAGTAATATTACGAGGAATGTACGGTGTAAGCTTGTGCAACAATTAGAATTCGGGCAACATGTGGAGAAGAAGAGGTTAGATTTGAGAATAATTTAGAGTAAAAATAATGAGAGTGATACAGTAGCACTGAATTATTTGAAAGGGTAATGCCAAGGAATCCAAGTTCAACTACTTATGGAGGTTGATTGGAAGATATTATAGAGTTCTTTGGTAGTAGGATATATGAAGCCTATGCAGCTAAAAGATGTGAAGGTATGGTTATGTTTGTCTGGATTGAAGACTTAGAACTTGGGGAAGCGGTAGCTCGGGATGTTGAATAGGGGTTTAATTTTTGGGAAAAAGGCTAAAATTGTCCCTATACTATCGAAAATTAGTCACGTTTATATCCGTTTCTACTTTCAGTCCAAATATACACCTGCCATTAAGAAAGTAGACAAAATCGTCTCTAACCCTAACGGCTGTCCATGACTCAACAACTAAAATGACACGGTGGACTCCATGTCACTATTTATTTTCCATTTGTAATAATAAATAACTAAACCCACTAAAATTAGTCTTCTTCTCTAACAACATACCACCGTTGCTGCAGATTCAAGGTTCTTGTCCTGCTCCACAAAATTATTTCATAAATTCCCATCATTACCGGTCAGTGACCGAACCACCACTCCAGCCGTCTTCTGCCACGAAAATACCCCATATTCTCTCCACCTGGAAAATCATTAGCAGTCACTCATCGGAAAATACCCTCCAAAAGCTTCACTAGAAACCATTAGATCTAGAAAAAAGAAATCCTCCATAAAAATTCATTTACCAGTGACCTCATGTTTCTCTTTAAAAACCCATTTAGTAGGGTTAGGACGATTTTGTTTACTTTCTTTACGGCAGGTGTATATTTGGACCGAAAGTAGAAACATGTATAAACGTGACTAATTTTCGATAGTATAGAGATAATTTTGGCCTTTTTCCCTTAACTTTTAGTGTGGATATTTGGTATCAAGTCGAGTTAGTGTTAAAATAAACCCGATGGACTAAATGGCTTAAGTGGATGCCACATGGCCTCTTCGTTAATTTGGGGTTATATTTGTTTAATAGTAAGACGGTAAGGATATTTTTTGCTCGATTAGTATAACGGAGGGTAACTTTAAAGAATTTTCGATAATATATTTTTGATCCTTTTCCGTGGCAAATAATATACGTAAAAAATTAGTAGTAACGAAGGTGTACATAAATAAACTAATCAAATATATAAATAAATCCTTTGCACTAGTTTGAAAATGTACTTAAAAAATTTCGATTTCGATTACATAGTACTAGGGGTGACAAATGGGCCGGTTGGGTTGAATTTGAGCGGATCAAGAGGGGTTAGGTCAATAAATGGGTCATTGCCCAATCCAGCCCAAAAGTGTATTTGGGTCAAGATGGGCTAAACAATGGGTCATAACCCAACCCGCCCAACTTGACCCATATTTTAGAACCATGCTCATCTTGCATAAAAAATTGACATATATTATATGGGTGGGGATGGGTGGATGGTGCAGAAAAACGAAAAAATATAAAACACAAAACAGAAAATTGAAATTATTAAAAAAAAGTAAAAAAAAAATTGAAGGGTTTTG